CTTGTCAGCTCAAACAGGTGATATGTTAAAATACTTGTCAGCTCAAACAGGTGATATGTTAAAATACTTGTTAGCTCAAACAGGTGATGTGTTAAAATACTTGTCAGCTCAAACAGGTGATATGTTAAAATACTTGTCAGCTCAAACAGGTGATATGTTAAAATACTTGTCAGCTCAAACAGGTGATATGTTAAAATACTTGTCAGCTCAAACAGGTGATATAACTTGTCAGCTCAAACAGGTGATATGTTAAAATACTTGTCAGCTCAAACAGGTGATATGTTAAAATACTTGTCAGCTCAAACAGGTGATATGTTAAAATACTTGTCAGCTCAAACAGGTGATATGTTAAAATACGTGTTTCCTTGCATGATTAAGGTGTACGGGATTTTACGAGCGGTTTCTCTGAAAACAGATTCGCACTTCGGTGTTTTCAAACATTTGAAGTTACTATATGGGAATAAGACTTAAGATTGCTTCTCAAAATTTTAAACCCTTAAATCCAGTGGACTTTTTTTAGCAATTGCATACTCTTTTATATATATATATATATATATATATATATATATATTTCTCCAGTCAAAATCATCTCATTCGTCATTTGTCAACCTCCAGATTCGTAACGTTAAACTTACTACACTACCTGAAGTAGTTCCCGCCAGATGATACAGGTTTTCTGTTGACAGGAGGGTTGTATGCGTATTTCTCAGAAGGTAATGCCTCCAGTAGTTTGGACTCTTCCATACACAGGCTCTTGGACGACGTGGCTGTGTGTAAAGAGCGGAGACAAATAGAAGTAAGAGTCCGTCTTACCTCAGAAGGAATCGGGTCAGCTTTTGTGACGGATTTCCCACAGTTCTTGAGTTCAAAGAGTTCACATAAAAATGCTTGGTGTTGTTTATATACACATGTAGTCTTACAATTATTTTTCAAATCCGTTTTTTGACTAAATGGGGAATTGTGTTTCGCGGTCCAGTTGATGTCATGACATTATATAGGAGGACATAAATAACATTGGGAAGGAATCAAGTTAAAGGGAAAGGTGGGAAACGAGCACTTTTTGGCCATCTTGAAATGACCATCATCAATGAAGGGAGACCAAATCCGTGACCAAACCTAGGAGCAAATCTTAAAACCAAAACTTATCTCTCTTCATATTGGAAAATATCCTGTTAATTGTTGAAAGAAGTGTATCCTATGAATAATGGGTAGGTTTCTAGATAACAAAATATTTGCTATTGATTCGAAACGGGTCTTTGTGGACCGGGTCGGTAGAATGTGGCGAACGCTTTAACTACTAAACTACCCCACTGCCCAGGAGACACTAGAGGTCCAGGATACGTCTGTGAACATAAGGTAGCATCACTGTTTCAGGGAATCGTACGATGGACTCACCATTCAGCTGATATGTCTTTTGTTTCTAGCGCTGATATCTTATCATGCGTATTATGAATTTTTCTTCAGATTTACCGCTCGACTACTGAAATACCCTCGAGCGGCACTGACTACAGTGGGAATGTATACATAGACGACACCGTTGGTCTGGACACTGTGTTTGTTTTCACTCTGCCAAGAACAGCCAATGTTGATGCATGAGTATATTCTAACGCAAATACACCTTGAAACACTGAATTCAGTAATTCCTTGAAGAGAAAATTGCTTATTTAGACAAAAGAAAATATACATCTTAAATCAAGAATTCTGAAAACTACTTTTGTAAATTCTGTAATTTGGAATGCTCATAATCCAAACGTTATAGTGTATTTATTGTGTTAACAGATTCGGCTGAGAAGTCCGAACGGACATGTCTTCGACAGCACTTATTCCGGATACCATCATGATGGCAGTATGAACATCATCAGATTTAAGCTACAGATTCAAGCTAATGAGGTACTTGCGCTGCGCATAGTACTTTAGAAAATAAGAAGTTATATAACAGAATGTATTTGTTGTGATGTGATATGAACGTTCAGTGCACTCTTTAAAAGATTTTTTTTGGATTCTCCAAACCTTTTAAATGTCTACATCGGTTGGTTCGTTTGTTGTTTAACGCCGCACTCGGCAGTATTCCAGCGATATGGCGGTGGTCTCACTCAATTGTGCAGATCGATGCTCATGCTGTTGATCACTGGATTGTCTGGTCCAGACTGGTACAGATCGCTGCCATATAGCTGGAATATTGCTGAGTGCGGCGTCAAACTAAACTCACTCACTACTTATCAACTTACATACGATCTAATTTATCATATTAAATTATGCAATATTCACCAATATTGTGTAACTTGCTTGATGTGCAGACAGGCATGTGGACCTACACTGTGCGCAGCTCAACAGCAGGGCCTGCAACCGTGGGAATAACTGTTACATCAAAGCCTCGTGACCGACACAACAGCTATGAGTTCCTCACTTGGCTCAGTGACACGCGAGTAAATGCCACGTCACCTCCGGTTGTATATGCGCATGTACACAAAGGTTACTCCCCTGTTATATACGCAGATGTCAGAATATCGATTGAAAAACCTGATGGTCAAGTCGAGGTTGTCAAGCTATTTGACAATGGAATACGTGAGTCAAGTATTGCATCTTCATGGCAGACATTAGTGCGCGTATGGTCGTAGGATTAAACAACCCTATCTGTGAAGATCCGGGGCAGAATAAAATATTACGACGTTTTCAGTGTATTTCAGTTATATCGTGGCGTTTGAGGTCGAAGAAGACCTAGGCTCATAGTAATTGCCAGTCACAGAACGTTGAAATGAAACTTTATGAATATGCTAATTACACCTCGAAAATGTACTTCAAACACAGCATATTACAAAAGGCTAGGTCGTACCTAGCTGCTGTTCGGTTTTTTACACCTCTGGGACATTGAGTTCACGTGATGTCCAGCATTTCCCAGCAACATGTGCCTAGTCCCGGTACACGAGAAATCACGTACACAAATGTTGAGTTTGAATATGGGTTTGTGATTTTTTAGTAATATTGATTTCAAATATGCAAGGTTTCAGTTTAGGAAGAGGCAATGGGCTTCTGTGTAACACAGACACTATAACCTCGTGGCGAATGAGACGACTAATACATAAATGATAGTCTTTCAATAGATTATCACAGCTTAAATACTCGAGAAGGGGGTCACTCGTCTCATCCCAAATTCACCTCGTCTATGACAGAGGGTTTCTGAACACTAAAGATAAAACCTTCACAACAAAAGTTGTTGTTTTAGGAACCATGAAAAGCTGAAATTCTGTTATTGGACTAAAGGATTTCTCTATAGTAACTGTCAGCTATACTTTCATTATATATTTTAAATACACCAGCTCCTGATAATACCAAGAATGACGGTGTCTACACCAGCTACGTGACCGCCTTCAACTCGAATGAAAGGTACTCTCTTGACGCCGAAGTCAACAACATTCCTGGAAAAACGCTCATTCTTGTCGCCGCTGATGGATCAGGGAGAGCCTACTCCAGAATAAAAAGTAAGACAAAAAACATCTTTTTGGGGTCTATCTTTCGCTTCTGCACCCAGTATACATCCTTCCATTACATACGTATTGATGATGCTAGATAAGAGGGGATTGATACGTTCAGAACCTCAGACAAACTGATTTCCAGCATACTCCACAATAATTTTATACACATTTGCCAACGATGTTAAATCACAGTTTGGTAGAAGTCCTTTTGACTGTTCAAACCTTCCCTGCATCTGTTATAATCTGTCTTCGTTTGAGTTCCGGCTGATTTGGGTTCCGGCTTGAGTTTTTTTCCTTCGTGTTTGGGAACACGACAGTCTGATGAAGGTGGGTTCTTAAGGAGTTCAAAGTCACACGTGCTGATTATAGCTAACGGCTGATATGTGCATTGCTGCATAGAAATTCTGATAAAAGGACACATTTTCTCTCACCTTCTCACCTCCTTCTATATTTGAGTGAAAAATACATGCTCTGTTTTTGTTTTGTTTTTGTCTGAGAACCCACACTGATGACACCATCGGCATAAGATATATAACTCGAAGGCCTTCGCTTTCTCAGCTGATGCAGAGATGGTAATCGGATGTCAAAAGCTTGCTACTTTATTGTGTTTCTGTGAATGAACTCTCACCCAGGAAATGTTTCTCTAAAGGCAGCATGACACTCAGTCATTTGAAGGTCGGATATAATCATATCGTACACTATCTTTACCATTTCTTGAGTTAGCATCCAATTCCATAAACGTTGTCTTTTACGGGTTCCGAACGTTTCAGTCACCCATCTTAACAAGTCTCCTGTTAACCTTCCAAACAATGCATTTCACTAGTATGCAACATTGATTCCTTGTGATATATTTCCATAGACAAAAGCAGAAAGACCGTCTTGCAGACAGTAACTACCAACTTCAGCCGGACCTCCTCCCCCGGTGCTATGGATATTACCGGGGTCACCCCCGGGCGCGACCTCATACCCCCTGCTGCTATATATGATCTCATGGTGGAGGCTGTTAATGCAGAAACCTATACCTTGACCCTAAAGTGGACAGCACCTGGAGATGATTTGAATCACGGGACAGGTAAGTCTGGCTTGTCACCCAGCACGCATATGAAAGGATACGTGTCATGACGCATCATGCAGCTTAATTCTGTTGTCTGTAAATGTAAAGCTAGTCGCACCTATGAGTATACAGTGTAGTGACGTTAAACGTATACTGAGACGCTTCTTACTGCCTGAATAGCTGAAGTTCAAGAGGAAATTTAAACTTGATAAAGAACCTTGACCAGTCATCACAGTACGTCATCACAGGTGACAAGATTTCAGTAGATTTTTCCCCACATATTAAGATAAGTGACACCCCCTTGCATGTCATGTACAAATTCAATGACCCCTCACTTCGCATAATTTCTAAGCATAATCTTAACCATATTTTCATGTACAAAATTGCTGCCCCCCTCTCTCCGTCCCTAGTAAGTGTGTACAAAATTACTGACCCCCCCTAGCACCCCAGAACAAAATGGGTGAAACCCCCTCTAAAATCATCATCATCATCAAAACACACACACACACACACACACACACACACACACACACACACACACACACACACACACACACACACACACACACACACACACACACCAGCCATAAATTATGAACGGTCCCCAAGAATAAGTCACTCATCACTTAAGGAATACAACTGTCTGCCTCTATATCAGGTTTTAGTTACGAAGTCATCTGGCGATATATTCTTACTCACGGACATGGAGCACTCAGGTAGAAAAGCATGTTATATGAGTGTGGTACTGAGGTATGAAATTGCCCATGGTACTGACAGAGACAGGTACTAATACAGTGCCTTCCGTTGCAGCCACACGCTATGAGATAAGATTTGGGAGGAGTTTCCAGGAAATGAGGGAAAGTTTCCATGACGCAATGCTGATAGATGCTACGGCCCTGGCTGGTCCGCTTGTACCCCACAGACCCGGAGAGCAACAAATAGTAGACATTGATCTGTCTTCCCATGGGAATTTAACTACCCTGATATTTGCCGTCAAGACCTTTGATGATGCCGGATTACATTCAGAGTTATCGAACCTAGTGTCAGTGAGCCTCAAGTCTAAAGCAGACATTTGGTGATGACTGCAAGTACGCACCCCACACTAATGGCGTTGCCTTACAAATACATGCAACATAACTATTTTGTGAAAAGGTCTAAAGCAACATAATTAATTATCGTTTACATGCAGATTAGTTATTTGCATTTTAAGTGCACCACTCCCCGCCACGTTGCAATTAGCTGCTTACTTGTCATACAACCCCATTCAATAAATCATGACCATTTTTATTGGACTTGTGCTTTATGATGGGGGCATTATTGGAAGGGATGTACTTTCATGGTTGTTTAACAGATTGGCGGCACAACACACACAATCTATCGATAGAAATCCTCTGAGTAGATCGTGACAGAAAGCCATTCAAACAAACAAGGCCTTCCATCAAGGACCAAATTAACGTCAAGGGTTTTATTACTTGTAAGTGATCGATATTGTGTGTGTGTGTTTATATTGAACAGTATTCGACTTACGCAACCCAAAGTGTGTCTAACATGACAAAAACCTTTAGAATTTACTTTTATCTGTTGTGTCGTTTTTAAGAAACCATGACGTTATTCACATTTAATTGAACCTTTTCTCTATAATCCTTAGATATAATAATTGTTCTTGGATCTTGGAAATTGTCTTGATAATATGAAGTCAACTTATGTTATAATTGGGATTACACTTTCTTAATAAAGTACAGATTCTTGTACTTTTGTTGGTTTGAGTCCCATACGGGATTCGAACCCACACCTTCAGAGTCAGGCACCTAATCACCAGCGGGGCGGTGGGGTAGCGTAGTGGTTAAAGCGTTCGCTCGTCACGCCGAAGACCCGGGTTCGATTCCCCACATGGGTACAATGTGTGAAGCCCATTTCTGGTGTCCCTCGCCGTGTTATTGCTGGAATGTTGCTAAAAGCGGCGTAAAAACCATACTCACTCACTCACTCACCTAATCGCCAGCACACAAAGTCAGCCGCCTAACCCGATCAGCCACCGCGACTTCGACAAAAATGGAAAGTCTGCAGTCTAGACTACCAGTTGTCCGACTTCAATTTTTGTGGAAGTCGCGATGGCTGAGCAGGTTAGGCGGCTGACTTTGTGTGATGGCGATTAGGTTGTACTTTATTTAGAAAGTGTAATCCAAAATATAACATATGTTACACTTGATCACTTTCTAAATGGCATTGTGTAATTATATGAAGGCAGACGATTGTAAATGATAGGGTTTTGAGCAGACAATCCACTGCTTGTATTCAAGAGCATCGATCTACGCATAGAGTATATGATGACGTGCAACAGTCGAGTCAATCAGTCAACCAGTTCGTTACATGGCGAATATCATCCAGGCAATCATTTGATTATCATTCTGTGAGTAGTTTAATATCGTTAGTGAACGTGAACAAATACTAACATTTCTACTTTACGGATTCAAGAACATTAAAAAAAAACATCTACAGAAATAGAGTGAGTGAATGAGTGAGTGTGGTTTTACGCATCTTTAGCAATATTCCAGCAATATCACGGCGGGGCACACCAGAAATGGACTTCACACATTGTACCCACATGACGAGCGAACGGTTTAACCACTGGGCTACCCCATTGCCCCTACAGAAATAGAGCAGATATTGGATGGATGTAATGTATGGTTTCCAATGTCATACTGAAATCTTTCTTGGAAATATGAAACGACACAAGCGAATGCGGAAGGCATAGTGTCCGTGATCGCGTTGTATGCCTGGTCTTTGTCTGCGGAGAAAGGTTTTTCATTGCAATGTTTCGTGATTGATATATATTTAAATCAGAACTCCGTTAATTCCGATGCATGAAGGTAGGGTTTGGACTCCTGCATTGGAATAAAGCGGAATGTTTGGTACACCGACATGTAATCATATTAATTGGATAGTTCATTGTATGTATGACTTTCCACATGAAACAATTACCATTTCTTAATAGTGTAGCACGGTTTCATTAACCTAAGCAATGAAATAATGATACAGTCGTATTATTGGTCCATCACGTCTATCACACTAAAGCACAGACAATTTGTCATCGTCAGTGGTAGTATATAAGTAGAAGTCCGGCTACCTTTCTCATACCATCAGAATTCACAATCATGTCACTCGTCACAGACAACACTACATCGTCGGATTTCCTCGAGGGATTTGACATATTTCAGCTGAAAGAGACTATTCGACTAACGTTAACATGGAACAATATCCTACTGTGTGTTCGTCTGATGGGCATTGTGCTCAATATTCTTGCTCTCTTGGTGTGGACTTCAAAGGAAATGAAGTCGGTGACATCAACGTATCTTATCTCCATAGTCTGCTTCGACCTGGTCTACCTTGTGTCATACGTCATCAGCAACATCCTGATCATCTGCAATGTGTGCCTAGCCAAGCCTGAGCTCTGGGTAATGGATCTTGTAATGATGGGAGCCATCAACTTTGGCTTATGTGGCTCGATCCTTACAACAGTGATCGTGTCATTCGAAAGATACATTGCCATAGCGTACCCGTTCAAAATTAAGTTTATCTGTACAACGAGAGTCGCCAGAATGATGGCAGTGTTTACTTTTTTGCGTGATTATTACATATGTCACATTGGATTCGGTTCATGCTCTTGACATGTACATTCCTCTTCCTCCAGCGCTCGGTCTCAAGGATGTGCTGAATGCCGACAATGCAACACTATCTACCCTTGGAGATTATACTTTCGTATTATTCTCCTGTGTGTACTTCACCGACCAAAGCACGCTTCACGACTTTCCACTGACTCACAACATCCTCGCGTACATAGTACCTTCGTGCCTTCTGCTCATTCTGAACATCCTCATCATCAAGAACCTCCGAACTGCCCAAAGCATCACCTCGTCTAGAAACCCAGAGGCTGAGCTGGCAAAACGTCGCCTGATCAAATCCGTAGTAGCCATCAGTTGTATGTCCTTGATTGCCTATCCGACATCCTTCTTGATGTTCTTCATCAGCCAGTATTATGTTACATATGACGCCTTCCTATTCAGCATGATGATGTTTACTGAGGACATGGTCCACGCTCTCAACAGCAGCATCAACTGCCTGTTTTACTGTTTGATTGGCAAACGCTTCAGAACAGTCTTCGTGAAAATATTGTGTGGAGGTTTCCGACGACGACGGTATGCACGTCCTCAAAGACCCCCCGTTTATGTCATCAGTTTCAGTAACAAGCCTTGAGGTATTAACTAGGAATCGACTTTTCCCGAGGTTTGTTTGTACTTCAGTTACTTTTGTTCATTCAGAATGTGTGTACTACTGGACCAGAGGAACACTTCATACTTGCACTGTGTGTTAGTGATACAAAGTGTTTATTATATCTGTCGAATGTCTCGAACAGTTTACTGCATTTCTATAGACTGTCAAATTTTCTAACCCAAACAGTTCTTCGTGTTAAGCTATGTTGCCTATTTAAGTATTGTGATTGGTGTATCATTTCATATTTCGATTTCAATATAATCTAAATAGAAATAGAAATCTTTTCCTCACTTGTGGTTATAGCTATGTGTGACGGTGCCGCCAACAGTCACCTCCTAGTAGTAGTGTATGTCCTTGTAATGGGGCCACCAGCCCATTTTACATTTTCACATGTTACAAGTTGTACATGTACATGCGAGCGCCAGTATACAAATGGTGAAATGTTGGACATATTGTCATAAGAAATATCATCACTGTCAATTCATTATCAAAATGTAAGAAAGTTCTGGCTCTTCTTTTGTGCTAAAAAGATGAATTTAGCTAAACTTTTTATAATTAATGGATTAGTTGAAGAAAATAATTGGACACACTTTCTATCTGATGGGTAATTCCAAACATATGTAGGAAAAATATTCTGCCTAAGTTCGTTATAAAATGGACATATAAAACAAACATGAAATTGTATAATACAAAAGGGACACAATCTCTCCTTTCTTGGAATGTTAAGCTTTCTACCATCTGATATCATAAGATGACCCGAACAACGAAATTGTGATAATGAAATCCTAAAAACTTGAATATCTACCTCTGCCAAATATTTTTCAACAGCAGAATCAATTCTAATACTTCTATAGAACGACAAACTAGAATATTTACCAAGTGTCTCAGGGTACAGCTGATTATCAATATCGATACACCTTTGCCTAAAATCTAATATAAACTTCGTTTTATTTCTCACAAGCTCATTCCCATACATTTCCAAAGCCATAGCTAAATAATGGTCTTTTCACTTTAATGCCCAACAAACTACTCCTCTTTCAGCAAGATTATATTGATACAAATAGATATGCTTGAGAATATAATTATCACTCACGGATATTATTCTTATCCATTGACTTAAAACCTACCTAATTCGCCCCGAGCCACAATGTTAGGAACACTTCTTTTCAAATGTAGGATCATTTTACAGAACTTGTCATGAATATTCATTATGTTAGGAGACGGATGGATACCCCGTATCTCAGACCCATGAAGTAAAAAAGGTAAGATTTTAATATAAAAAATATGTATCAGAACCTTAACAGGTAAGTTATCAAAATTGCGAATTCGTTGTTTCAACATAAGAACAACCTTCCATGCTTGTAGGGACAACACTTTCTGAGTGGTATACCATGAACCTGTACTAGATAGGTGAACCCCCAAGTACTTATAGGTTAATACAATCTCCATGGAATTACCTTGCAGACTAAATTTCTCATACTTTCGCAGCCTGCCACCTTTACGAAATACGATCACTTTTGTTTTATCCAAATTAATTCGTAATTGCTATTTATCACAATAAGACGAAAATTTATCTAATTTCTTCTGAAGTCCATACTATCGAACAAGATGATATCGTCTGCAAACAACAGAATAAAAATGTTCAAGACACCGATATCGATACACCTCTGTCCGTCTGCATTAAGTACCTTAACAAGATCGTTTTTGTAAAAGGAGAACAAAAAAGGAGACAACTGGCGGTCACCTCCTAGTGGTTAAGCATCCACAATAGGAGGCTGGAAGTCCAGTTCTTGGGTCACAAGAGACAGAGGCAAGACTGTGCCCTTCATGTACACCCCATAATATACAGACTATGAGAACTTTCCATTCTGTAACGTTCGATAACAAGTCACATGATACTGCGCTGGATAACTCCTCGCACTTTTAAGGTTTAATGTTTGATTTACCTAGATCTCTAAGTATGACTCTTGCTCTGAAGTTTGACCTGGGTTACAACATTCCACGCCTCGGTAA